TATATTTTTACTTTTAAAATTTTTGGCCTACAATGTTTGGAAGAATCTGCTGCTGACTCCACCTCTGTAAAGCTTCATCACATCACTTTCTCCGGTCACATGAATCTCGATATGAGCCGGAACAAACAAAATATCTCCTCCGTTAACCAACAATTGAGATGAACCGGTTTCCAATTTCCCTTTTCCTTCGATAACCAGATAAACCGAAGGTCCCGAGATTGCCGGAAAAACCGTCGATTTCCCTGTAGGAAGATCACAATGGTCCACTTCGAACTCATCAAATGGAGGAAGGTATCTACTAATGTATGGTGTCACAGGAAATCCTTTCAAAATCTCCGGGTAACCCTGAACAAAATCCGGTACGGTTAATTAGAAACCAGACAAAAGCAAAAGAAACAATCGGTTTAAATATTTATGAAAACGTTAACGTGTAAAGAAAGAAAGTTACCAATTTGTAGGTAAGCATAGAGCAGAGGGTTTAAACATCGCGGTGTTTCGGAGTAAGACTAGCTCTAACGACTGTTGGAACTCGGTTTTAACGAAATGATTTTAGGCTATTTGCCGGTGGGTTTTTCGGTGGAGACGTCCGGTTTTGGGCACGATGGAATCATCGCCGTGAGCACTATAAGATAGTGTATCTAATTGTCAAAATCGTCCAATGTGGATGAGTTAGAAAGCTTGAAAAGCTTTGAAATTTGGCGAAGTATAAAAACTAGTAAATGTCCCACATTGGAAGTTTGGATGAAAATCCTTAAGTATATAAAGTGGAGAAATCATAACAAGGTTTAAAACTTTGGATACACTTTTGTGTATTGAAGAAAGGAGATATTTGGACGAGGCTTTGGCTTTGGGTTTTAGAATATGATATGTGAACCAATGAGCCAAAAGATTAATTCTTTTGGTCTAAATTCTTTTTGAATAAAGTTTTGATTAAATCAACATATATCTCCTCTATTTGATGGGTTATTAATATTGGTGGTTAAGTGCAAATTCAAGTGTGATTTGATTTGTAACTTATGAATATTAAACTCACGTTCAAATAGGCATTGATGAGAATGAATTCTCAATCTCCCTTTAATGCCATACGTTGATAGACGTTGGGCATAGTGGCTATAAAAGCATCTTGTCCTCTTCTCATTTGATATACGATGAACAACACTAAATCCCTCACAAGTACACATAGAGTCTCGGTTTGTTAG